ATTCTTGTCCTAAGACATCCCCACGAGTGTGCTCAGGGAATTTGTAGACATACAGAACGTGTATAATTCACCATGCCTTGTTTCTCAGTCTCCAAAGAAAACTAAACTCAGTTTGATTTAGTTTTGGTACTGAGTATTGAATCCACGACCTTGCACATTCTAGTTAAGAGCACCACAGCGAGCCACACTCCAGTCCCTTAAATAAGGTTTGAGGCAGCAGCTTCTAAACCCACTCATAAGTCATTCAAAGTAACTCATCCGAAGAAACCAGTGATTAAGCACTTGCTGTGTGCTGAGTGCTGCACCTTGTATTATCTTACCTATTTAGTCCTTTCTATAAGGTATGTAAGATATGGCTTAATATCTATTTTCTAATTTCTTTTTTTTTTCAGTACTGGAGATTGAACCCAAAGCTTCACATAAGCTAGACAGATACCCTACCATTCAGCTATTTCTTCAGCCCATTTTTATTTTAAGACATTATTTTGTATCTCTGAATAACAGTGATTTATGTATCTTAAGTACTTGTGTTTCAATAAGTTACCCAGGTTGAAGCCAGACATGGTGATGCACACCTGTAATTCCAGCACTTGAGAGGCTGAGGCAGGAGGATCATTGCAAGTTCAAAACTACCCTGGGCTACAAAGTGAACTGCAGACCAGACTAAACTGCATTTCAAGACCCTGTCTCAAAAAGAAAAAAAAAAAGAGGGGGGGACCAGGATGTAGCTCAGCAGCACTGTATGCCTGTCTAGTAAGTATGAGGTCATGAGTTCAATTCCCAGTACCAAAAAAAAAAAAAAAAAAAGTTACCCAGGTTGGCCTCAAACTTGAAATTCTCCTGGTTCAGCTTCCAGAATAGTTGTGATTACACACTCATTTTAAAATGAGGTTGAAAAGTGTAAACCAGGCATAGTGATGCATGCCTGTAATCTCAGTACCTGGGAGATTGAAGTAGGAGAATCCCCACAAATTTGAGGCCAACCTGGATTACATAGTTCAAGGCCAGCCTGAATTACAGATGAGGCCTTGCCTCAAAACAAAATAACAATCTCCAAAAAAGAAACACAGAAATTGGAGAAGCAACAAGCTGAACTTTTCTTACTCTGCCATTCTGTGTTCTCCAGCCATTCAAGTTCTTGATGGGTTCTCATTCTGTTGCCTAGGGTGGTCTCAAACTCCTGAGCTCGGGAGGTCCTCCTGCATCAGCCTCCCTTAAAGCTGGGACTACAGGCACATACCATAGTACCTGACCATTTAATTTATTGATTGGGTGTTTTATTTACATTTGTGAAATATCAGAGAAAATTTGTCTCAGATGATGGACATTTTCCTCTCTAGGTGCTTTGTCACATGTATGTGAAAAAGCATTTATAATTAGTCTCACAAAGTCTCTGTTTAGATTTCCTTGAGTAGACAGCACTATGGCAAAAAACAAAGACCAAAAGAAAACTCTACTGCAGTCCTTAAGAGTTTCAAGGATGGAGGGGCTGGGGATTTAGTTGGGGCTGCGGATTTAGCTCAGCGGCATAAGTGCCTGCCTTGCAAGCAGGCAGTCGTGAGTTCAATACCCGGTACCAATAAAAAGGAAAAAGACCAAAAAAAAAGTTTCAAGGATGGGGCTAGGGATTTAGCTCAGTGGCATAAGTACCTGCCTGGCAAGCACGAGGTCATGAGTTTGATCCCCAGTACCGCAAGAGTTTCAAGGATGGTTTCTTCAGTGTAATTTTAAAAACTCAGAGGAGCAGTTTGAAGCTTAGTTCTGCCACTTAATAGAGCAACCCTTGGCTATTAAATAGGCAAGCCATGTGATTTTTCTGCGCTTTACTTCCTCATCCATAGAAACAAAATAATAATCCCTATCATTTCTATTTCACTTTGCAAACATCAAACAAAACAATAAACATAAAAACTGTCTGAAGATCCTTTCTCATAAAGCTGTGGAAAAAAAAAAACTGTCTGAAGTGAAAATCATGATGACTATTCTGACTCCAGCTTTAGACCATGAAAACTGTACAACATACTGCAAGGCTTACACTTTATGCACATGTTCTCCTTACTTCTATCATCTAGAACAGACTGAGCTATTCCCATGACCACCAACCACAATTAGCAGGCTCTTGCCCCTTTTTCCTAGATCTATATACTACCAACACCACAGAGACTGAAAATGCTATTCCTACAATTTTAGCATGGCCCTGTGGGGGATAAGTCAAAGAACTCCAAAGAAGCAAATTTCTGGAGGTATAGCTCAACAGAAATAGTATGCACAAGACCCTAGGTTCAAACCTCTGCAACATACCATGAGAGGAAAGGGAAAGGGAAAGGGAAAGGAAAGGGATAAGAAGAGGGAAAGGCAGGGGAGGAGAGGGGTGGGGAGGCAAGGGGAGATAAAAAGATGCAGCCATCAGAGAAGAAAGAAGATATGTCTTAATTTACCATCTCTATTTCCATCTCTTTCTGGAGGCTAAGTTCCTACTTCAGCCCTGTCCCTAACAGAAGAAACGTGCAGATAAATCAACTGAAGCCAAATATAATCCACAAAAATGCTCCTTCTCCTGGCTTGGCTGGAAAGAATTAAGTTTTAATACTAATCTTCAATATCTCAAAAGTTAAATCATCCTTGGATTATTAAAAATATAATAATTTTAAAGGTCAGTCCTGAAAAGACTAGTCATTAAACATAAGCATCTGCCTGGCAAGCACAAGATCCTGAGTTCAGTTTCTAGCACACACACACACACACACACACACACACACACACACATGCGCGCACACACACACACACACACACACACACAAACTAGTCACTAGAAATAGCTGTATTCCAAAAGCCCATGCAATTTTATTTTCCATATCATATATTAATTTTTCTAACAATAACAAGATTAGCTGGGTATGGTGGTACATACCTGTAATCCTAATACTCTGAAAGACTAAGGCAGGAAGATCACAAATTCAAACGTAGGCTGGGCAATTTAATGAGATCCTGTCTCAAAATAAAAAGTTAAAAGAGGTAGGGATGTAGCTCAGTGTGAATACCCTTGGTTTAATCCTCAATACTGCAATAAATAAATAAACATAAAAATAGCAAGAGTTAGTTCTTCCAAAAGGTTTGACATTTTGCATCATCTTGAGAAAATAATGATTTCTCTCTTTTTTTTTTTAACTTTCAAGTAGCACTGAAGAAAATAATAATTTCTAATACCTTGGATTCTCTCTCTCACTCTGTTTCTGCTGGATACTGACTTCAAGGGCTTATAGATGCTCGGCAAGTGCTCTACCAAGCTACATCCAAAGCCCTTTTTATTTTGAGACATGGTCTCCCTAAGTTTCCCAGGCGGTCCTCCAATTTGCGATCTTTCTGTTTCAGCCTCTTAAGTAGCTGGGAATAGTTTTTTTTTTTTTTTTTTGGCAGGGGTAGGAATAGAACTTATGACCTCCCGCTTACAAAGCAAGCGCTTATGCCACTGAGTTAAATCCCCATCTTAAAAGCTTGAGAATACTTTTTTTTTTTTTTTTGGTTAAGTAGCTGGGTACAAGTATACACCACTACACTTGGCTTCTAACCATACTAGTCTTAGTCCTTTATATTTGTCAAGGAAAATGTGACTACTTAGGCAATTTTATTCTTTTAACAAAGTTATATACAGTTAGCAGCTTTAATTCATAAAATAATTGTTTTGAGGAGCAAAGTAGAGGGCAGACTTTGGGAAACAGGGAGACAGATCTTTTTGCAAATGGGAAAGAAGACCAAGAGATGGAGGGGAGAGGGGAAGGGGATGTAAGAAGAATTAGGATGTGTTATGTACATGTATCAACCCCCTTGATGATTATTATATACTGCAAACATGTAATAAAAATTTTTAAAAAGAAACAATTAGATTAGGCAATCTCGATTACTTTATAGATTTAGAAATCTTTTTCTAGAATTAGTAGATCTCAAAGAATTCTGGAAAAATGATAGTAGTAATGATCAGAATGATGAAAAAATAGTATTTGTCCACACCTATAATAGATGAGGCACCATTCTAAACCAGGCCTCAAAGTTTCTTGAAAGAAATGTCTCAGCTGGACCTTAATGGAAGAGTAGAACTAGCCAACCTCAGGTGCAGACAATAAAGATGAAGGAAGAAGAGACTAGTCCTGCAGGCAGAGATACCAGTATGAGAAAAGAGAAAGTCATAAGGACCTCATCAACCAAGCCAAGACATCTGCAGTCTACTCTGAAGAAAACAGCAAGCCCCTGAAAGGGTTTATGCAGGACAATAACATGATAAGAACTGGGCTCCAAAAAAGATTCCTTTGGCTGCAATGTGAAGGACAAATAAGAAATTCAAGGTAAGCTGGTGGTGCATGCCTATTGTCCTAGCACTTGGGAGGCTGAGGCAGGAGGATTGCCAATAGTTCAAGGCCAGCCTGGACTACACAGCAAGACTGCCTCAAAAAATAAATTAAATAAAAAAGAAAGAAATAAGAAAAAAAGAAAAGAAATTTAAGATAAATTCAAGACCAGTGGGAGTTGCTTTCTAAAAATATAACACAACCTATAATTTTTTTTTTTTTTAAAGTAGGGTATGGGGTGATACTGGGGACTGAACCCTGAGCTACACTGCGTCCCATCCTGTTTTGTTTTGATGTTTGTGTTTTGAGAAGGGTCTCACTAAGTTTCCTAGGCTGGCCTTGAGCGTATCGTCTTCCTGCATCAGTCTCCCAAGTGGCTGGGACTACAGGTGTGTTTCAATGTTCCTGTCCATAGGCTCTTTTTACACCTGGACAGTAGGTGACCATTACCATATTTTATGAATTTCAACTGATGAAGTACTTATGTTTCTGCCTGTTTTACTCCACATCCATTACTAACAATAATAAAGGTTAAGGTAGCATTCTGGGACTTATGGGCCTGGCACTCTTTGTGTGTCACAAAAATGTGAAACTGAAAACACGCATTACAAGGTATGAATTTGAGAGACTGTCTTTCCAAGAAAGTAAATTACTTACAGTGCCTTCAACCTCTGAATAGAGTCCTGACCAGAAGCTGAAGGTACTTTTATCCAGCTGATAGAGTCGAGACTTCTCAAACGTTTCAGAATCCATGATCTGTTCTAACTCCGGTGGTACACGAGTAGTTGTTTTATAAATCCTTCTCTGAAATACGTTGAGGCAAACATTTTAATGAAACATTGTTTACTGTAATAGAAATGTACAATAACACTGGATGATTTATGAAGCATTAACTTGTCATACCTGTAGAACCTTTCATACATACACAAATACTGCATTCGTCAAGTATAGTGACCATGGGAACACATGATAGAGACAGGTAATGTAGAACAGGAAAGTGTGATGCCAACCATGAGTATTAACAGAAATTGTGGCTGACCATTAAGGGAGGTTTGAGGAATAACACAAATTATCAGGTCCACCTTTTCCTTAGGCCAATTCTGTAAGAGAATCTCAGCCCATGGAATATAACACAGGGAACAGATAACAAAAAATATAATAGACTGCATCTTCTACAATGACTTTAAAACAAACACCTTCTCAATATACAAGATATGGGAGCAGGGGATTTAGCTCAGTGGTTCAAGCACTTGCCTGATAAGCGTAAGGTCATGAGTTTGATCCCTGGTTAACAACAACAACAACAACAACAAAAAAAAAAAATATATATATATATATATTTGTCCCAAGTGCTAGGACAATAGGCATGCACCACCATATATATATATATACACACACACACACAGTGTGATCAAAATGCATGGTCAGCTTAAATTTTTAAAAATGTATTAAAAGACATTGCCATTAACTCTCCTTAAAATATCCACTCTCTTGAAATGTACTTGAAATTCCTGTCATTTTCTGAAACAGCTTTGGAATTTCTTTTCCATCAGTATCATTACTTATGCTCTTACGACTGCCTTGATGCCCTAAACTAATACAAAACACTTAGTTTCAAGATTATTTTGACTTTGGGAAACAGCCAGAAGTTGCATGTTCCAGTCCAATGAATAAGTTATGTTTTCATCTGACAGAAAATACCATAAATGTTTTGAGTCAATTCAGGACATTAAAGCAGCCATGAAAAGCCACAATCTAAAGAAAACTCCCAAAACTGCTTCAGGAAGTTGGCAAGAACAATGGCATTAGTATATTTGAAGCAAGGAGAAGTGAGGGGGATTAATGATAATATGTCTTCTATTTTAATAATTTTATTTTTATTTACCCATTCACTGTAGTTTGTGGTCATATCTCATATTATATCAATAGAAGCAGAAAGGCATTAAAGATACTTAGTAAAGATACTACTGAACCTAGCACTTGGGACCCTGAGGCAGGAGAATTGCTGTGTTCGAGGCCAGCCAAGTAAGTTTAAGGCCAGCCTGACCTGCACAGTGAAACCCTGTCTCAAAAAGACAAAAAAAAAATAAAAAATAAAAAAAAATAAAAAAATACTAATGAAGAGCTGTGTGTGGTGGTGCATGCCTATAATCCCAGCACTCTGAGGCAGGAGGCTCTCCAGGAGCATAAAGCCTGCCTGGACTCAAAGCAGACTTTGTTTTAAAAAACAAAACAATAACAAACAGATACTACTGAAAAGTTGTTAATGTACTAACAGTAATTAACTGGGCCAGGCATGATGGCATATGCTTGTAATCCCAGCACTCTTGAGGCTGAGGCAGGAGGACTGCCATGAGTTTGAGGCCAGCCTGGACTACATACTGAGTTCAAGGCTTGGCTGATGTACACAGACCCTGCAAAGAAGAAAGAAAAGAAAGAAACAAAGAGAGAGAGAGAGAGAGAGAGAGAGAGAGAGAGAGAGAGAGAGAGAGAGAAAGGAAGAAGAAAGAAAAGAAAAAAAAATAAAAAAAGAAGAAAAGAAAGGAAGAAAGAAAAAAAGAAAGTGACTTTTTTTGGAGACAGGGCCTCACCATGCACTTCACGCTGGCCTTGAGCTCACTGCTGTAATCTAGGCTGCCCAGTGTGCTGGGATTACAGGTGTATGCCGCCATGCTCGGTTCACCCGCCAAGTCTGACACCACATACTGTGTTTTTTACTTTATGCAAAGGATCTTCTGTAGGCCAACAATATTATGTACTAAGGAAGCAGCTCTGTTGGAGTATTCAGCTCTACAGCTCAGTATCTATCCGTACATGCTGGACTAAAGGTAGACTGACAGCTAACCCAGACATTGACAGATACAGAAAAATCAAAACTTTGCATACAGACTCATGCAGAATGTAAACTGACAGGAGAAATTTGTGTAAGAAAAACACTTCTGTTCAAGCAAAAGAGTTCCAGAAGTTAGAAAGGCTTTCCTAATCATCATTACTCACGTACAAGTCTTCAATTACAAATGAGTTCTGTTCAGGAAGAACATCAGTAAGTCACATTTGTTTATAACATGAGTCTTACACACTGTATGCACTTCTTTGCACTCTAGCAGTCCCCTCCGCATCACCAAGGCTTTTCCTCCTGCTTCCGGCCATCCTGGGCTCTGACTGAGCAGTATGCTACTGGTACACTATCACACTGTACAGTAAGCACACAGCAGTACAACTATGACAATGTCCTGCAAGACACCTGGGCTACTTTCACAATTTTTTCACATCAATGAATGTTACTAATGTGAGGTCCTTTAGGATCTGTTAAAGTTCACTTACATGTTTCTAAGTCTGGGACTTACTATAATTCAACATAAGCCTAGGAAAAGCAAACCACAGCACCAGGAAGGCTGAGGCAGGAAGATCCACATGAGTTTGAAACCAACATGGGCTACAAGGTGAGTTCAAGGCCAGCCTGAACTGCATAGTGAAACTGTCTCAAAAAAAAGCTACTTCCCCAAAATAGAAAGAAAGCAAACCAGCAGTGAGACTGCAATAAAACCATCAATTAAGCTTTGTCTCATTTAAAATTCAGGCCTCTATCAAACCCTTGGAGTTGTAAGTAACTTTCACTTTCTATTTTCCTATTTAAAAAAGAATTTTTTTTTTTTTAAACCCAGGGCCTCCTGCGTGCTAGGAAAGCACTCTACCATTTAACTACATCTCCTGCCATTTTTATTTTCTGAGACAAAGTGTTAGGTTGGCCACACTGTCCTCCAGTTGTTCTCTCCCCTGCCTCAGCCTCCCCAGTTCTAAGGATTACAGGTATGGGCCTCAATACCCAGCTACTTAAACTTTTTATAAATAATGAACACTCTTATGAAAAATAAAACGCTTTTTAGGCATAAATAGATGCACTTTGAGATTTAAAAAAATAGTGCAAGTCCTTGAAAGAATTCAAACTCTTAAAAAAAAAAAAAAAAAAAAAGGTTTCCTATTCCTGCCAAGGGAAAGCTGTAATTCTAAAATTTAGCATCTTCCTTTTGAAGGTACCAATGAAAAAGGAGGCTAAGTGTGGGCACAAAGACCCTTAAAATCGGTGGAGTGGGTACAATCTCGAGCTTGAGGAGGGGAAACCTTTCCTTCTTTTTCTTGAGGCCTTAACAGGCTCGGGTTCCATAATAACCATCCGAAAATCTCCCTGTGGAACGAAGAACCTCTCGGAGTCACAGCAGGCCGCTGGGCCTCGCTAGGAGGCTCAGTAGACGCGACGAGGTTGCGACCGGCGCCGGGACCGCAGCAAACACCGAGGGGCTTGAGGTCAAGGCCCGGACTGGGCTGGGGCCGGAGGAGGGCTGGGTCCGCGGTCCTGCCGAGGCTCACCTGCCGCTGTGCGAGGAAGGTCTCCCAAAGATACACTGTCCAGGAAAAGAGCAACACTGCCCAGAAGATCCATTTCTCCGCCGGCAAGTCCCACATCGCGTCCAACGACGCCCACGTCCCCATGATCAGCCGGTTCCACCCACTGCTTCAGCGTGCACCGGCGCCACACCGACAGCCTTCCCCCTCAGAGCGTCCCGGCGGTGTCACAGCGATATCCGTCCCTTCCGAGTGCCTCTAAGCGCACACGCATCCTCATCCCACGCCCTCCCCGAGTTTGGCTGGAGAAGTACCAGCCCCACCTCCTTCACTTCCGGCCTAAAAACATCTGCAGTCCAGGCACCGGGTTCCGGCTCTGGTGGGCGGCGTTGCTCCCACTTTCTTCCGCCCCCCAGAGAGAACCGCATTATGTGCTGTACTTTCCCGGACTGAAACTGACTGATGGTCAAGGGTTTAGCAGGAATGACACAGAGAGGGCGGCCGCCCCCTTCCTCGGGTAGCTAGGAAGCAGAGAGTAACTGACTTTCGAAGCCCCCAAATCGTGTCTCGACTGGGGAGCGCTGTTCAGGTGGTGACAGGTGCATCCTTGGGATGTCTTAAAGAGCGAAGCGAGGCCAGATGTGGTGGTGCACGTGTGTAAACCCAGCACTTCGGAGACTGAGGTAGGAAGCTTCCTGCGAGTTCCAGGCCAGCCTGAACTGCAGAGTGAGACCCTGTCTCAATTTAAAAAAAAAAAAAAAAAAAAAAAAAAAGAGCGAAGGGAAGAGTTACAAATAGAGCACTTGAGGCTGGGTCGGGGCGCCAGGCATAGTAGAGAGCTGGAAGTGACGGTTTATAGATCTCATCTCATCCAGCCCGTTTCGTGAGAGGCGGCATTTTGTAAGCAAGGCAGGGACAGCATAGCTACAAATTCTTGAAATGTGAGCCCTTGTCTAATCTAGGAGACAAAACTCGTATCTTGTCGCAGTGCCATTTCTGTCCTGGCGCTCAGATGTGAAATTCCTGGAATGCTTGTTAACACATTTATTTCACTGGAAAAGTCAGTAAAAAAAAAAAAATTGAACTTTTGCAAATGAAATGTCTTATAGTTCTTTTGCTTTCAACAAAAATAATAGTGGATCAATTATTTAGTCAGTTGATGAGGGAACGGTATTTGATTTTGGACTTTAATTTGGAGAGAAACCAAATACTTGGTTGACATTTCTAAAACTACTAGCATTCTCATTTATTTATTTAATATTTCTTAGCACTTATATATATAAAACAAAAAAGGACTAGTAACTAAACTTTGACAACTCAGCAGTCAGAAATATTCACCCAGAGATATGAATTGGTGTAAAGGCCCATCCATCTCACTGTGAGATGATGTCAATAGAATCTTACATTTTATATTTATATACTTTCAGAATTTGTAGTTGTATCATTTTGATCAACTACTGTACATGCTAAAGCTAATTTCAACTATAGGAATTCAAAAGAATTTTAACAGAGCCATTTGGTTACAGAAAATTTTTCAAAATTTTATATTTTATTGCCAAGAAATTGTCAATAAAAGATTTTCAAACATCAAAATATTTCTGAATAACATCTTTTCCTGAATAACACTTCATGAAAGTAGAACATAACTTAGAGATAAAATAATAAAGTTGAACAGTTCATTTGCATGCTTTAATATAATTATCATATATAGGTTATATTGAATACATTAGATAAGTGATTTAATAGTTTTATCCTAAAATGTTAGTTTGCCAAGATTTGCACCTATTGAAAGTGTTTAAATTTATGATGAAAAAGTTATCAACTTATATATATGAGGTAATAAACATATGCATAATTTTCTTGGGCCATCATTACTCTGCCCTCTTTATCTTTGTCTTCATCTGTGATTCACTGAAGCTTTTGCCACCCAAAATTTGTAGCTAAGAGCACAGGTGTGGTGTCAGATTCCTTGAATGCCAGTCATAGTTACATCATATCACTCTTTGAGCCCTATGTGTGTCAGTGCATCAGTAAAATAAGAATAGTACTTATGTCCTTCTATTGTTTGGATCAAGTGAGAAAATGTATATTAAATTCTTCACAATGTACCTAGGCCTGCATAAGTGTCCAGTAAGGTTAGCTGCTGACTCTTCATGTGTGGGAGACTGGCAGCAGAGCATTGATCCATGTGTCTAAAAAGTGAGGAGATGGAACAAGAAGCTGGCACAAAGTTTCAGAACACCACGACTGACTGGAATACACTATCAAAAACTACCCAGAGCTTACCTTGTCAGTGGGGCATGGTGGATGGGGCAGTAGATGATGAGCAAATACATCACAGAAAAAATAAGGGTGGCACTAAGTGCTACAAAGCAAAAGCATCGAAAGGGGAATACAGCACATGGGGGGAGAGGCACTACTTTACCTAGGATGGTCAAGGAGGGCAATCAGGTTAGCTGATTTCTGAGCACAGGGCTCCCCCCCACACACACACACAAGTAAAAGAAGCCATGTAGGTATCAGAAAAAAGCCAACCAAAATGGACAGAAGATGCAAAGACCCTAGATTGACCAGTGCTTAGCATATGTGGCATATCTGAGAAATGGTAAGTAGGTGTGGAAAGAATGGAAGCAATAAGAGAGAGAGTGTGCAGGTCATGCCATCAGGCATAGTCTCTTAGTTTAGAACCTGACTTTCGGTTGGGTGTAGTGGTGCACACCTGTGATCCCAGCACTTGGGAGGCTGAGGCAGGAAAATTACTGCAAGTTTTGTGGAAGAACACCTGGACAACTGTCCTTAAAAGACGAACAATTGTCTTCATTTTGGCTAAATATGGCCCTATTTCCATGTATTACTATATGCAGAGCTGGCTAAGGTTTGTCTTTATTCTCTCAACTGGCTTTAAGCAAAGCAAATGGGTCTAGCCAGTTTTCTATATTTGTAATCCGATGGAAAAGTTATTAGAATTCTAAATTAATTCCAATCTACCACTATCAGTGCAACACATGGTAAGTATAAAGACACTAAGGCATATCTGTAGTTGTGGGGCACCAAGGGAGTCCTAAGTCCAGTCAGAATAATAGCTAATCGAAACAAAGGCCCCCATCAATGGCATGTAGGTACTTTATCTTCTTGCACTAACTTACAAAATGTTAAGTTTTAATCTTCTGCACCAGTTTCTCCAAGTGTTTCATGACTTCTGTAAAGGTGGTGGAGCAATAAGCAGTAGAGAAAACAGCTTCTCTGAGAGTCACCATCCAATGCTGCAATATAGCATTGGGAAGAAGGTAAGAAGTAGGTTCCCTGGTCCTAGGAAGAATCTGACGTGTGAACTGAAGCCCACAGACAGTGTAAAAAGAAAAACTTCAACAAAGAAGACAGTAACTCATGGTGCCTTCACCTGGAGCTGAACTCACTGCTCGAGAGGAGCTATTGGAACATGGGGACATAGGCTCATGGTTATGGTGTCTGCTGGCAACCCGGGAGGCCTCTGCAAAGAGATGGGGGCAGTGGAAGGGAATGGCACTGTACTGTCTGGTGGTGAGTCCTCCTGTGGGAGATAGCGATTGGCCAGGAGCCATTTTAGAGTCCAGAACCAGAACTGCTGCCAGCTTCTTCCAACAGTGCCTAGCTGGACTCAGACCCATGGAAACTGCTTGGACTGTGGTAAGCCCAATGACTCTGGTCTCGGGGCAAGCCTGCTAGGATTATCTACTACGCCACCATAAAGCAATGGCTGGCTTTCTGGAACACAATGGCATGATTCAGGATTCTGTCTCCACAGGCTGTCTACTAGTGAACCCAGACAGAATCCTGAAAGTGACTATTTATTTTGTTTTTGTTTTCATTTTTCTTGTTTGTTTTGTTTTATTTAGCTTGTTTTTTATTTTTCCTTCTCTTCAATTGGTTAATGAGTGTGACAGTGGTTATTATTCTCTTCGTGGATGTAGTTCTGTTTTGTTCTACCTTTTATCTCTTTCACCTCTCTTTTCTTTTAATCTTCTGCACCAGTTTCCCCAAGTTGGTGGGACCCATCTTTGTCCTTCAAACTTACTTATAATCTCTCTTTTGCAACTCCTCTATTTTCTCCTTAACCCATTTTAAATTTTAACCCTGAGGGCAAAATCGATACATTATGGACTTACATATTGCATATAATTATCTGGTTTGTTTTATATTTTGTTATATAATCACATATCTAGTTCGTAGAGTAAAAAGTTGCAAATTAAGGGTTGGCACAGCTTATTGTTTTATAGGCTGTTTGATGTTATTGGTAACACTATCGCCAAAATCGACATCATTGTTCTAAACAGCTGTTGGCCCTGATAATCCATGACTGAGATTAACTAAGAGTCACAGAAAATACTATGGCATAGTGCCAAAGAACCAAGGACTAGGCCAAACAAGCAACAACTTTTCTCCAACAAATTGAAGAGGTAAGATCTTCCAATAGACTCAAAACCCAAAAACTTGCTACATTTGGCAGATACCTCAGAGAAGTAATCATCACCTAAGTGTCCTAAATACCATCAATAAAGCAACTCACTATAGGCGTCTTACAAGCATCACCCGAGGAATTAAACTAAAAAAGAAAAGACACTTAAGATGAAACCCCAGACATCCAGTTCACCAAAGGCAAACCCAGGAGCAATGAGGTGGTTACAGTCTATAAATCCCCCACCAGGTCTCTCTGAAGTGGTAACAACAAAGCAACTGAATAAGGCTCTGGAGAAAAAGGAAATTAGAAATAATCTCTCAATTACAGAGATTACCAAAATACACACCATGCTTAGCAATGTTAGAGCAGACACAGACAAAAAACAAAACAAAACAGATGAGCTTAAGCAAATTATGGAAGCACAGCATAGGAAACAAAGAATTCATAAAGCAGATCCAAGCAGATATCCAGGAGAATAAAAACTCCACTGCAAGTATTCAAAGCAGATTAGTCCAATTTAAGGACAGGATCTCAGATATTAAAGACAGACTTTTAGTTAGCGAGCAGGAAAACAAAGATTTCTCAACACTAGCAAGGGACCAGGAGAAATAAATCCATCAGCTGCTAGATGAGACAAAGAAAAATAACATAAGATTAATCAGAGTCAATAAACAAGTAGGAAATAGCACAAATGACATTAAAAACATGTTCACAGACATTGTGACAGAAAACTTTCTTGGTAGAGAAAAAGAATTTAACATGCAAATAAGTGAGGCATATAGAACTCCACTAAGCAATAATTAAAAAAAATTACATACATATGATTGCAATAACATATGTATGCAATACATATGTTATTGCAATCATATGTATGCAATAACATAGTCAAGATTCCAGAAATTCAACACAAGAATAGAATCTTAAAAGCTGTTAGGGAAAAGAAACAAATCACCTATAAAGGAAAGCCCATCAGAATCACAGCTGACTTCTCAACACAAACTTTCAAGTTAAGGAAAGCTTGGAGTAAAGTACTCCAAATTCTAAAGGAAAACAATGTTAAACCCAGATTGATGTATCCTGCAAAACTGTCTTTCAAAACTGATGGAAAGATAAGATACTTCCATGACAAAGAACATCTGATGAAATTTATGACCACCAAGCCAACCCTCCAAAATGTTTTAAAGGACACTATAGAAAGAGATAATAAAGACTACAGCTCCATGAACCCCAACAAAAGGACTTCACCAGGAAAGGCAAGCAATTAGAGGGAAGGGAAAAAAAGGGGGGAGCCAACAACAGGAAAATAACATTACAAGGATTAGTCAATACATATCAGTTTTAAACATCAATGTTAATGATCTCAATTCACCAGTCAAAAGACATAGGCTGGCAGAACTGATCAGGAAGCAAGATCCAACAATACCTGCACACAAGAAGCACATTTAATTCAAAAGGAAATTCACAGACTGAAAGTCAAAGGATGGAAAACAAAACTCCATGCAACAGAAAAAGGCAGGGATAGCTATTCTTTTTGCAGACAAAGTGAATTTCAAGCTAAGACTAATTAAGAGAAAGACGGTCACTACATCTTTGTAAAGGGAACAATCCAAGAGGAAGAGTCAACAATCATATGTATGCAACAAATACCATGCACCCAGCTATAGAAACAATTACTAATGGACATGAAAAACCAAATAAGGCCTAATACAATTGTATTGGGAGAACTCAATACACCACTGTTGCAAAAAGACAGATCAACTAGACAAAAAAATCAATGAAACATGACAACTAAATCAAATTATTGAGCAAATGGTCTTATAGATGCCTACAATGTTTTCCCACAATATCAGAATACCATTCTTCTCAGCTGCACATGGGGCATTCTCCAAAATAGACTATATACTGACTCATAGAACAACAGGCTTAAGTAAATGCAAAAGAATTGAAATTATCCCTTGCTAGCCAGGCATGGTGGCTCACGCCTATAATCCCAGCACTCGGGAGGCTGAGGTGGGAAGATCATTGCGGAGTATGAGACCAGCCTGGGCTACAAAGTGAGCTCAAGGCCAGCCTGAACTGCATAGCGAGAACCCATCTCAAAAAAAGACAAAAAAAAAAAAAAAAAAAAAAAAAAAAGAAAGAAAAAGAAAAAGAAAATTATCTCTTGCATACTATCAGACGACAGGGCAATGAAACTGGAAATCCATGCCAAAGGAAACCACAAGAACTTTGTAACACATGGAAATTAAATAGCACCCTATTGAACAACCACAGAGTCACAGATGAAATTAAAGAAGAAATCAAATAGTTTTAACAGAATAATGACCATGCAACATACTGGAACTTGAGGGACACAGTGAAAGCAATCTTAAGAGGGAAATTTATAGCTGTGAAACAGAGCAAGTGCATATCAACAACTTAATGTTGAATTTCAAACTTCTAGAAAAAGAAGAGCAGGCTAACCCAAAAGCTCATGTAAGGGAGGAAATTATAAAGATCAAAGCAGAAACTAACACACTGGAGAGTAAAAAAAAAAATACAAATAATCAATGAATTGAAGAGTTGGTTCTTTGAAACATTAAATAAAATTGATAAACCCTTAGGCAATTTTATTTTAAAAAGGGAAGATTCAACTCCAAGAAATTAGGAATGAAAAGGGTGAATCACAATAGACCCTGCAGAAACCCAGAAAATAACCTATATCTACTTTGAAAACTTATATTCTTTTTTTTGGAAAGCTTATATTCTAACAAGATGGAAAATACAGAAGAAATAGACAGATTCCTAGATACATATGAATTAAGAAAGCTGAATCAAGAAGATATAAAAATCCTAAATAACCCAGTATCAATAAATGAAGTTGAAGAGGTAATTAAGAACCTGTCAAGAAAGAAAAGCCCAAGTCCTGATTGATTCATTGCCAAATTCTCAAAGAAATTTAGTGAAGACTTAACATTGCTGTGTCTCAAACCCTTTAATGAAATTGAAAGGGAAGTAATACTCCCAAATTCATTCCTGGAAGCAAGCATTACTCTGAATCCAAAACCAGAGAAGAACCCAACTAAGAGAATTACAGATCAATCTCCCTAATGAACTTTGATGCAAATATCCTCAATAAGATATTGGCAAACACACTGCAGCAAATCATCAAAAATATTGTATACCAGGATCAAGTGGGATTCTTCCCAGGGATGGTTCAACATACAGAAATCCATAAATGTAATGCATCATATTAACAGAGCCAAGGACAAAAATCATATAATAATCTCAATAAATATAGAAAAAAGCTTTTGACAAAGTCCAGCACCCATTCATGATAAAAGCCCTACAGAAAATTGGAATAAATGATCTTTATCTCAATCTGATAAAAGCCATCTATGACAAACCAACAGTCAATGTCATAGTAAATGAATAAAAACTGGAAGATTTCACTCTAAATTTAGGAAAAAGACAAGGATGTCCACTGTTTCCACTCTTATTCAACACAGTCCTGGAAATTTTAGCTGGAGCAATTAGACAAGAGAAAGAAACAAAAGGAATAAAGATAGAAAAGGAAGAAGTCAAAATATTGTTACTTGCAGATGACATAAACTTAGAAAACTCCAAAAACTCCACCAAAAGACTTATAGATTTAATAAGCAAATTCAGCAATGTAGCTGATTACCAAGTCAACATGCAAAAATCAATAGCCTTTCTGTACACAAATAAAAAACTCACTGAGAGAGAAATCAGGGAAACAATACTCTTTACAATAGCATCCAAAAAAATGAAATACCTAGGAATCATTCTAACAAAGGATATAAAAGACCTCTATTGATGACTACAGTACTCTGAAAAAGGAGATTGAAGATGATATTAGAAAATGGAGAGACATCCTGTGCCCTTGGGTTAGAAGAACCAATATTGAGGGGCTGGGGATTTAGCTCAGTGGCATAAGTGCCTGCCCGGCAGGCACAAGGTCATGAGTTCGATCCCCGGTACCACAAAAAAAAAAAAAAAAAAAAAAACCAATATTGAAAATGGCCATACTTCCAAAATTGTTATATAGATTCAATGCAATCTCAATCAAAATTCCAATAGCATATCTTACAGAATTAGAAAAAACAACCCTAAAATTCATCTGGAACCATAAGAAACCTTGAATAACAAAGGCAATTCTGGGCAACAAAGATAAGACAGGGGGCTTCATAATCCCTGACTTGAAATTATACTATAAAGTACTGTGATTAAAAAAAAAACCAGTATGGTACTGGCAAAACACACACACACACACACACACACACACACACACACACACACACACACACAAAAGACCCGAAGATCAATGGACTAGATTAGAAGATGCAAAAACAACTCCAGACACACTAAGCCATTTTATTTTTGACAAAGGTGGCAAACATATTCACTGTAAGAAAGACAGCCTCGGGGCCAGAGATTTAGCTCAGTGGTGTAAGTGCAGGTAGGCCTGAGATCATGAGTTCAATCCCCGGTACCAAAAAAAAAGAAAAAAAAAAAAAAAGATAGTCTCTTTAATAAACGGTGCGAAAGAACTGGCTCTCCACATGCCAAAGATTAAAACTGGACTCATATCTTTCACCATGTAATAAGCTAAAATCAGAATGGGTCAAAGATCTTAATATTAAAACAGAAACATTAAATCTATTGGAAGATAGAGTAGGTAGAACTCTTGAAGACAGTTGTGTCGGCAAAGACTTTATGGGCAAAACCCAGATTGCACAGGAACTATCACTAAGAATCAACAAATGGGATCTCACCCTACTGAAAACCTTCTGCACAGCAAGCCTCCAACAGAGTGAAGAGACAGCTCACAACATGGGAGAAAATGTTTGCCACCTGTTCCTCAAAAGATTACTGTCAAGAACATACAAAGAACTAAAAAAAATGATTCCTCCCAGATTTAAAGACTCAATCCAAAAGTGGACATTTGAGATGAGTACATACTTCTCAGATGAAGAAATACAAATAGAAAATAAATACATGAAAAAATGTTGAACATGAAAAAAAAATGTTGAACATGATTGGTCATTCAAAATATGCACATTAAAACAATACTGAGATTCCATCTCATGATGGAAAAATGGCTAGTATCAAGAAATCAACCAATAATAAATGCTGCAGGGGTTGTGGGGGTGGGTGGGAAGGAACCATTCTCCACTGTTGGGAAGGGTAGATTGGTGCAACCACTGTGGAAATCAGTGTGGAGATGCTTCAAAAAACTAGGATTGGAGGTCCCATTTGACCCAACTATTTCCCTTCTGGGCATCTTCCCAAAAGAATTAAAAACATCATACCACAGTGATATATGTGCACCCATGTTTATAGCAGCATGGTTTATAATAGCCAGATCTCAGAAACAACCTAAATGCCCAGTGACTGAGGGATACAAAAAAAATGTGGTATTTTTATACAATGGAGTACTACTTGGGCATAAATAATAATGAACTGGATAGATGACCATATTACTGAGTTTTTGTTGGATACTTGAGCAGAACTGTTGGCAGTCTCATTGTTTGAATGACTACTTTGCTTTAATTTTGTAACTTGAACAACTATTTCTAGAATAGGATGACAGTATGTAATTTACTAACTAGTGATTTCTTAGTGTTTTTGTTTTGGAATTCTGTATTGTTGCTACCCTGTCTTCTGTTTCGCTTTTTTTTTTCTCTTTAAATAAAATTTTTTTAAAAAAATAATAAACTGGACACTTTTATAGGTAAATGGATGCACCTTGAGAACATACTCATTAGTGAAATAAATAAGACATGTGTAAATATCATATTGTTTCATTAGTCTGACAAGCTAAAAGAAAAACATATGTATATGTATATAAAAACAGTTAAGATAGACTACTGATTTCTCTGAGTTAGCTGAAGAGAAAGATTTGTACTGGTATTGTTCGGACAATTGAAGGCAAATATCTTGTGCTCTGGGTAAATGATTTTGGGATGACAATACACAATGTATGTACCATTGTTACCCCCAAGTGATGTACTTTAAAATTTTATTATAGTTTTTTTTAAATGTGTTTCATAAGCCATCACCAATATGCCCACTCCACAGACAATTCTTTGTGTGTGAGCACAGAGCATATACCTGCCTCTTGTCTGTCTGGTAGGGCTCTTGTACAGTAGCAGTAGTGGCTGCATGAGGAGTACTCCATACAAAAACACAAATCATGCAGAGACAACAAACCTCTCTCTCATACTTCATACACTTACATACAGAGATGCAATAGCATCTATCTTGACAGGAATAGGTATCTTTTCAGCCATAGGATTGGGGGCAGGACGACTTGGGAGTGAATGCCAACTTTTATACTCAGTTATATGATTTAAGAGCCTCCATCAATGCAGTCTCTAAATCTGTTGACTCACTTCAGGACCAGATTGATTTATTGCCTTCAGTCATCCTCCAGCAGGGAGATGTGCTCAAAGTACTCACAGCTGAAAAGAGGGATACTATGCAATACTGGGGGGAAAATGATGCTATTTTGTAAATCAATCAAGTATTGTAAAAGGACAGGTAAAGAGGCTCAGAGAACTTGCAGTGGAACTTGGAAAGAGATACATAGCCTCCAGTTCCACTCTGTGGTCTTCTTGGTGGCCCACATTAGATTCATGGGCCCCTATCCTACTTCTCATCATAGGTCCCCTCATCACCATTATCTTTTTTTTTTTTGCTACTACTTCCTTGGGTCTTTCAACTTGTTTCAAGTTTCATTCAATCCAGGATTCATTCATTCACTACCAAAGAACTCCTTGTCCTCAGTGACATCTCCATCATGTGAGTTTGTGTGAAACCTACCTGTCATCTCATCAACCCTCTAACCCCTGTTCAGCAGTAAGTAGCCAGAAAGACAGATTTCCCTTTAACCACCAAAAGATGGGAATGACAGGTTTTTCCTAGAAAGTGCTTCCCTTTGGCACTAGACAGCACCTCCCTGCCTTCTTTTCCCGAACCCAAATGTCAAACCTCCTGTTTTTGCTCATGTGCAAATGCATCTTCAATCAGCTGTCAAAACATCATTCCACCCTTTAACTCCACCCCTGTCAAATTCCAAATATAAAGTCATTAGTTCTTTCCTGAAGCTTCCAGAGAATGCCTGCCTCTCTTGGGTAGCCTTCTCATTCCCTCAATACAGGCTTTTTTCTTCTGCTCTCTCACTCTCTATCTTTTCTGTCTGGCACCACAGAAGACCAAACAACTAATTCTTTATTACTCCATGTGCATTACTCTTCAAGGACCTTCTAACACTTTCCACCCATGTACCTCTGGGGAAATAAGAGATGACTGCAATGACAGCACACTAACTGGTGTTCGTGTGTGTGTGTGTGTGTGTGTGTGTGTGTGTAGTACTGGGATTAAATCCAGGGACTCTGCACCAAGCTACAACCCTTTTTTAAAATTTTCTACTTTGGGGGCTGGGGATTTAGCTCAGCGGCATAAACACCTGCCTTGCAATCAGGCGGTCATGAGTTCAACCCCTGGTACCGATAAAAAGTTAAAAAAAAATTAAAATTTTCTACTTTGTACTTTCAGGAAGATGGCAGAGTGGCAAGCAGCAGAGAAAGAAACCTCTCTGATAGATGCCATCCAGACACTGGAACATAACAAGAGGAAAACAAGAAAGAGGAAAGTGGGTTCCCTGGACTCTAGAAGGATCTGAAGCAAGAATTGAAGTCCACAGGGAGAGCAACAAGAGAAACTTCAACAAAGGAGGGAGTAGCTAGTGGAGCCTTCTCCCTGAGTTAGGGTCATCATGTGGCAGAAGCAGTTCAACCCTGCAGCCACAGGATGACCATAGGAAACACCAGAGACCTCTAAGGAGAGGCACAATAGTAGAAGGGAACAGTGGATATGAAAGACTGCACTAGCTGGGGCCAAAATAACGTAATTGTTCTAATCAGCTTTTCCTCCTGGTATACAAGGAGCAAGACTGCCAAATAGAAAATTATGTGGATCAGTGCCCAAAAACCAGGGGCTCCACCAAGTGGGCAGCAACTTCTCATCCCTAACAAAGTGAAGAGGTAGAATCTCACAACAGACTCAAAACCCCAAAACCAACTTCACCTGTAAGATACCTCTGAGAAGGGGCTGGGGATTTAGCTCAGCGGCATAAGCACCTGCCTTGCAAGCAGGCAGTCGTGAGTTCGATCCCTGGTACTGATATAAACGAAAAAGACAAAAAAAAAATCATAAAAAAAAGATACCTCTGAGAAGTAATCATTTCCTATGGGTTCTAAATACTAACAGTAAAGCAACTCACCATAGGCAACTTACAAGCATCAACCCAGGAATTAAACTAAAAAGAAAAAAATGAAAAGATGCTTAAACAAGACGTAATCCTGGACACCCAGTTCACCAAAGGCAAACCCAGGGGGCACTGAGGTGAGATAATCCAAAAGCCACCCATCCGGCAGAAGTGGTAAAAACAAAACAAAGGAATGAGGATCTAGAAAAAAATCAAATTAGAAATAACTGCTCAATAATGAAAACCATGCTTAGTGACTCTAGAGCAGATACAAATTTTTTTTTGTCTTTTTCCTTTTTATCGGTACTGAGGATCGAACTCACAATTGCCTGCTTGCAAGGCAGGTGCTTATGCCGCTGAGCTAAATCCCCAGCCCCTACAAATTTTTTAAAAATAGAGGAATTTAAGAAAAAGATGGAAGCCATGAATGCCCACCATAGGAAAAAAATGGAATCCATAAAACAGATTCAAGCAGCTATCCAGGAGAATAAAAATATCACTGAAAATGTCCAGAGCAGAATGAGCCAGTAGGATGACAGAATCTCAGATAGAGAAGACAGGCTTGTGGTTAACAATGATAAACAGAAAGATTTCTTTAAAAATAGCAATAGACCATAAGAAACCAATTCAGTAGCCACTATATGATGCAAAGAAGAATAACATAAGTTGATGGGTGTTGATGAAAAAGCACGAAATAGCACAAATAATATTAAAAAACTGTTCAAAGACTTCATGGCAGAAAACTTCCCTGGTAGGGAAAGAGAATTTGACATAAGATAAGTGAGGCACATAGAACTCCAATTATCAATGATCAAAAAAATCTATTGCCAGCCATATCACAGTCAAGATTCTAGAAATTCAACACAAGAATACAGTCTTAAAAGCTGTTATGGAAAAGAAACAACCTATAAAGGAAAGCCCATCAGAATCACAGTTGACTTCTCAACACAAACCCTCAAGATAAGGATAGCTAAAGGAAAACAACCTCCAACCCAGGTTTATGTACCCCCACAAAACTTTTTTTTTTTTTTTTTTTTGGCTTTTTCCTTTTTATCGGTACCAGGGATTGAACTCACGACTGCCTGCCTGCAAGACAGGCACTTATGCCGCTGAGCTAAATCCCCAGCCCCTAAAACTCTTTCAAATTGATGGAGAAATAAGAAACTTCCATGACAAAGAACACTTGAGGAAATTCATGAACACCAAACCAGCACTACAAAATATTCTGAAAGACATTCTAAAAAAAGAGATAACAAGAACTATGATTCCATGAACCCCCACAGAAGGAATCCACCAGAGGAGGTAAACAGTTAAACAGAAGCAGGGGAAAAGGACAGAGCCAACAACAGGAAAATAACATGATGAGAATAAGTCAATACATATCAGTTATGACCGTCAATGTTAATGTTCTCAATTCATCAACCAAAAGAAACAGATTGGCAGAAGGGATCAAGAAGATAGATCTTGCTGCATACAAGAAACATTTAATTTAAAAAATTCACAGACTGAAAGTCAAAAGATGGAAAATAATATTCCATGAAAAAGAAAAACCAGAAAACAGCAAGGGTAACTCTCTATTTGCAGACAAAGTGAAATATAGATAACCAGTGCACCCCACAATGTAAAACTACATATTAACAACATAAAAAATCAAATAAGCACTAAAATAATTGTATTCAGGGATCTCAATACCTGCCACAAATAGATCAACTAGACAAAAAAATCAACAATGAAATATTAGAACTGAACCAAACTTGAAAAAATGGACTAAGTAGATATCTACAGAGTATTCCAACCCTCAATATCAGAAAATGCATTCTTCTCAGCTGCACATATGATGTTCTCCAAAATAGGTCACATAACAGTTCATAGAATATGTTTACGTAAACCCAAAGTAAAATTATCTCGTACATATTATCATACCATAGTGCAATGAAATTGGAAATCAATGGCCAAAAAAACCCCACAAAAACTTCATAAACACATGAAAATTAAATAATATCTCTTGAACGACCAATTGGCCATAGATGAAATTAAAGAAGAAATTAGACAGTTTCTATAATTAAACAATAATGACAGTACAACATACCAAAACTTACAGGACACAATAAAAGCAGTCCTATGAGGGAAATGTATAGTGGTGAGTACCTATATGAGGAAAACAAAGCAAGCTCAAACAACTAACTTAAAGTTGAACTTCAAGCTTCTAGAAAAAGAAGAGCAGGCCAAGCCCAAAGCTTGTTTGCAGGAGAAAATTGTAAAGATCAGAGCAGAAATTAACACACGGGACACTAAGAAAACAATACAGAGAATCAATGAATTGAAGAGTTGGTTCTTTAAAACATTACATAAAATCAACAAATGCTTATCCAACCTTATCAAAAACAAGGAATCCAATGAATGAAAAGGGTGAAATCACAATGAACCCAGTAGAAATTCAGAAGATTATCTATACTGACTTTGAGAACTTGTATTCTAACAAGATGGAAAGTGCAGACGAAAAGGACAGATTCCTGGATACATATGAATTACCAAAGCTGAATCAAGAAGATATAAAAGGGGCTAGGGATTTAGCTCAGCGGCATAAGCGCCTGCCTTGCAAGCAGGCAGTTGTGAGTTCGATCCCTGGTACCGATAAAAAGGAAAGGAAAAAAGACAAAAAAAAAAAAAAAAAAGATATACAAATTCCAAATAAACCAATATCAATCACTGAAATCAAAGATATAATTTAAAACATACCAACAAAAAAGCTCAGGCTTTGATGGATTCACTGTTGAACTCCACAATAAATTTAGAGAAGAGCTAACACCACTACTTCTCAAACTGTTTAATAAAATTAAAAGGGAAGCAGTACTCCCAAATTTGTTCCTGGAAGCAAGCATTACCACCATTATTAAACCCTGAGAAGGACTCAACTAGGTAAGAGACCTACAGACAAATTTCCCTAATGAGCATAGGTGGAAAAATTCTCAGTAAGATAACTGGCAAACAGAATTAAGCAAATCATCAAAAAGATTATACATCATGATGAAGTTGGATTCATCCCAGTAATGCAGAAATGGTTCAGTGTACATAACTCAATAAATGTAATGCACCATATTAACAGAGCAAAGGACAAAAGCCATATGATCAGCTCAATAAATGCAGAAAAAACTTTTGACAAAGTCCAGCACCCATTCATGATAAAATCCTACAGAAAATTGGAATAAATGGTCTTTATCTCAATCTGATAAAAGCCATCTGTGACAAATCATTTAGTATGACAAAGTATCATACTTAATGGACAAAAAACTGAAAACTTTCACTCTAAAATCAGGAACATGACAAGGATGTCCACTGTCATCTTCTCTTTCTCTTGCTCTTCTTCCTTTTCCTCTTCTTCCTCCTTCTTCTTTGTATCAGGGATCAAACTCATAACCTTTTGCTTGCCAGGCAGGCACTGTGCTATTGAACTATATTCCTGGCCCTGACTTCACTGTTATTCAACATAGGTTCTGGAAACTTTAGCCAGAGCAGTTAGACAAGAGGGAAAAAAAGAAATAACAATAGGAAAGGATGAAATTAAATTATCAGGGGCTGAGGATTTAGCTCAGCAGCATAAGCGCCTGCCTTGCAAGCAGGCAGTCGTGAGTTCGATCCCTGGTACCGATAAAAACGAAAAAGACAAAAAAAAAAAAAATTAAATTATCATTATTTACAGATGACCTGATGCTTCACATAGAAGACCCCAAAAACTGCATTCAAAGATTTCTAGATTTAATATGCAAATTCAGTAGCTTAGCTGGATACAAAATCAACACTCAAAAGCCTTTCTGTACATGAATAACAAACTCATTGAGAAATTAAGGAAATACTTTTCAAAGTAGCATCCAGAAAAATGAAATACTTAGGACTCAATCTAATGAAGTAAAAAACCTTTACAATGAAAACTATAGTATTCTGAAAAAAGGAAATTAGATGACATCAGAAAATGGAAAGATATCCCTTGCTTTTGTGTAGGTAGAACCAACATAGTGAAAATGGTCATACTTCCAAGACTGCTATATAGATTTAATGCAATTCCAATTGAAATTTTAACAGCAAAACTGGGTGTGGTGGAATACACCTGTAACACCAGCTCTTGGGAGAATAAGGCAGGAGAATCACTGTGAGTTCAAGGCCAGCCTGGGCTACAAAGTAAGTTCAAGATCAGCCTGAACTGTATAGTGAGAGCCTGTCTTTAAAAAAAATTCCAACAGCTGGAGAAAACAATCTTAAAATTCATTTGGAACCAGAAGGGATCTAGAATAACAAAGGCAATTCTCAGAAACAAAGGCAAGGCAGGGGGCATCACAATTCCTGACTTGAAATTATACTATAAAGCTACTGTGACAAAAAGTAGCAGGGTACTAGAAAAGAAAAAAAAAAAAAACAAAAAACAAAAACCTGAAGACGAATGGAACAGATTAGATGATCCAGAAACAACTTCAAACATATTTAGCTACCTTATCTTTTACAAAGGTACCAAATACATTCCTTGAAAGAAAAATAGCCTCATTAATAAGTGGTGCTGGAAAAATTGGCTTTGCACATGCCAAAGATTAAAATTGGACCCATATCTTTCACCATGCATTAAAGTCGAAATGGATCAAAGATCTAAATATTAAAACAGAAACATCAAATCTGCTAGAAGATAGAATAGGTAAAACTCTTGAAGACAGTGGTGTACAAAAACTCTATGAATAAAACCCCAATCATACAGAAACTATCACAAAGAATCAATCGCCCTGGAATTCTCCTTATTCCCTAAGCAAGCCTGTCTGTCTGCCTGTCTGTGTATGTTTCTGTGTTTCTGTCTCTGTCTCTGTCTCTGTCTCTCTGTCTCTCTCTCCATGATGATTCTCAGGAATATTACCTTCTATTTCAGTGTGTTGTAAAGAGCTAAATATCATTTTCTCCGTAAAGCCTTTCCTGGATCTATCTTGTATTCAATCTGTTTTTGCACTTGTACACTGTGAAAGAACATCTTGCACAGAGATTGCATTTTAAGGCCAGTGCATGGACAAGAATTACTAATGGTGAAATTTACCCTTGGAAATCCCTTAGGATGAAAACACCTAGGAGACTGCCACACTACATTGTCTTTTGTTGACTAGCATAGTCAGTTTTTCTTCAACATGGCAACAATTACTGTTTCTCCAGTGGTATGTCTCTCCAGAGTATGCATTCACTGAATGGAACACCTCTCCATTTTCCTCCCTGCCAAGGCAAAAGTCATATGAAGAGAATTTACCTTAGTTTAAAATAAAATGATCCATACAGGCAGGGTGTGGTGGTGCACTCCCGTAATCCCTGCACTTGGGAGGTTAAGGCAAGTGGATCATTGCAAGTTCAAGACCAGCCTGGGCTACAAAGTGAGCCCAAGGCCAGCCTGAACTGCATAGTGACAAAAGATAAAGAAATAAATAATAAATAAAATGATCCAAAGCTGAGTGCTTCTGAAGAGATTATCACAGTGCTTATCATAGGGTAGATATCAGCAAATGTTAGATAAAATTAGTCTCCTTTATGTCTAATGTCATCCTTGGTCAACTCTGAGTAATTAATACATGGAAGCTCCTGGGCTACATATTTTTCTTCTGCCAAGGACCATGGCACAGGTCAGCCTACTATTGCAGGCCAGTCCATAGCAGCCGTGGTGAACCTAGGGCACCTATGTCACAGTGGGCTGTTTGTCATCATGGAAAGCTCTACAAGTGTCAGGAGCCACTGCAGCTGGAAACTGACCACACATAAGGGCTAAAGAAAAATCAGCCCCAAGAACATGAAGTGCTTGAGGCAAGCCACATGAGCTAGTTGTTCCATCTCCAAGAATGTGAGGTGCCAAGTATCTGATTGTTAGACAGAGGGGCTACAAATGACATCAAACTCATGAGTATATAAACAAACATGCTGCATTTAGTGGGCGGTTCTTCTCTCTCACCAGGAGAGGATTCTCCACCTGACCTCAGCTTTCTGCATTTCTGATTCTTGTCACTATTTCTTCATCCTCCACCATCTTCCTCCTGGGAAATTTGAGATCTGCGCAGGATGAAAGATTTGCATCGCTGCTCTACAGTATGGCCCTCAAACAGTGCTTTCATCTTTCCATATCCTCCCCTATACCTCTTCAGTATCCTCAAGACAACAGTCTTAATCACCTTCCCAGCTTTTCCCACCTTCTTTCATCTCATACATCTTTTCCTACGTGGCTCTTTATGCTCTCCAGCCTGCTGAGTGAGCACCACAATCCCAGGGACTTTTTAAAAATTTTTGGTAGTACTGGAGATTGAATCAAAGGCTGTATGCATGCTAAGCAAATGCTGTACCGCTGAGCCACACCCTCAACCCCAGCCAAAATATCTACTGCTGTGCATCACATGTCCCAACTGCACACTCATATAAAACCTGTGACTCACTGAATAGACAGCCAGCCCTTGCAGGGTAATTTCAATATAGTTCTCTGTTATTCACCACCACACACATGAGGGAAACCGTGTTTCTCTGGCAAAGATTGGAGACCATCACATTTCAAGTGGGGAAGTAAATCCTGATGTGAGCAGGGGACTCTGGCAGTCAGAGCAGCTGCAATAGTGATCAGAGGAGCACTCCCTCTTCATGGCAGGCTTTTGGGCAATGATCATCCCCTCCAGGTCCTTCACTTTGCTTTCTACTGTTTGAAGTTTTTTCAGAATTTTCTCTTGTAGGCCCAAGGAAAGGAAGATGTTACCACTCCCTTGACTCTTGTGTCCATCTTCTGGGTTGGCTAGCAAAGCCTGAAAAAAATCTGAGCCCTTCTTGTAAAGCTGGTAGAGTGTGATTATAAACATCAACATTTTCTAAAACAAAACACAAAAGATGAATGTTATTTGCTCATTCAAGTGAAATGCTAGTTTATCATAGATATGAAATAAAACCAAAAATCTAATAACAACAAAGTTCATTGCTGGGCCAGGGATTTAGCTCAGTGACACAAGCACCTGCCTGGCAAGTGCAAGTTCATGAGTTCAATCCCTGGTACAAAAAAAAAAAAAATTATTCCTACACCAAGCCCTCCATTCAACAAAATATTTTTAAACTATTTTAATTTTTTGAAGTTTTTGCTTTTGTTTTGTTTAAACCACACAGGGTCTTGCTGTGTAGCGCAAGCTAGACTGGAACTCATGGTGACACTCCTGCCTCAGCCTCCTTAGTGCTGGAATTATAGGCAGTACCACAATGCCCAACTACTTAATCTCTCTATTATTAACACAAACTGGATTAGCAAGCAGGTCAGATATCTTACTTGCATTTAATAAATATAAGAAACATCACTTGGTGAAAGTTTACTACATGCTGGCCTCTGCACTAGAAGTTATCTTTCCCATCCATGCATAACTTATTTCTGCAGAAAAATACAGAACAGGATAACCATTTTGATATCTTCCAGTTTGGATCCTGTCACTATTTAAGGTCATACTCTGGAAATGGTAAGAGGCATGAGTGGAGTCTAGGAATTCATGCCTAGTGAGTATAGTGATCTGAAAAACTTTCCTGGTCAAGTTTTAATGTACTAGGACAGATTCTTGCTGGGATATGAATAAAATTAACCATCTTTTTCCTTATTTTAATAACTAGCACTGGTTACTGAATATGCATGTGCATATTATACCTGTGAAATTCCCTTTAATCCTCACAACAATCCTATGTTACAGGTAAGAGAAACTGGGCTTAGAGTGATCACTCTCAGGGAACAGTACAAGGTTTAACCGATTTAGGTCTAAGCAATCTGACTCTAGAGCCAATGTTCTTCCTCTCACATTCTTACACTACCTTCTTTTTTGGTTGAGGTGTATGAAGTGCTGAAAACTCACCTTTCTGATTGAGTAAACTCAGAAAAAGTTCACTTTCTTACCTTATATCCTCTTATTAGTTAATTGAAATGTACACATACACATATTTCTGTTATTTAGTCAGCTGGTTATACTAAAATTTTAGAAAACTAAATTTGGGACCCTAAAAATTTAGTTTGAAAAGCAGGCATGGTCACGTGTGTCTATAATCCTAGCGCTTAGTTTGAAACCAGCCAGGGCTAATAGTAAGACTTTATCTCAAAAAGGGGGTAGGGTCAAATCCCAGCTTTATCAGCTGTGACAAACTATACGATTTTGGGCATAACCAAGTTACATCATATACCAAACAGATGACGATCCCATCCTTGCCTACTATGGTGCGTTTGGAGAGTTTCAAATACAAACGTGAATATGATTCTTAAACAATAACAACCTATAAACATAAGCAAATGCTACAAAATAATTCAGTAATAGCTTCATTATCAAGTTCATTTCAGTATTAACTTTCATTTGTCAAGCTAATCACTCAAGAAAGCTCTTTTAATTCTATTTCCTTAAATTTTCATTGGACCTCAATGTATCTGAATTTCATTTGTCATGTGAAAATAACCTCTGTTCACATCATGCACTATTGGGATTTCCCCCCAAATACTTTGAACATATTATAAATAAGCTATTATTGTTGATGATTAAACAGAAGTTACATAAAATCCTCAATGTTTCTTACAATCCCAGCTAAATTCCTACTCCCAAAAGAAAATTCTTGCATATTTATGCACGTTTCATTAAAACAATGAAAACACTGTCATGGCTTAATGAATACGAATAAAGCACAATGGCATAGGAAGAGCAGAAAGGCCATAACCAAGACCCCATAGGTGCCTCTTCCATACCATGGTAGGCACTCAAAGGTGTATACCTGATCAGGTAAGTTTGGGGATAAGAATGCCTTCTCAGGTAATGAGCATCACACTCTTATTTTACAGACAGCAGATAAGCCAAATACAATTGTCACAAAAAGAGCGTCTTTATGCCCAAAACCTAACTGGTAGAAGAGTTAAAGGATAACTTAGTTTCAACCAATTTAAGAGACAAGGGTTCATCCTTGCCCATCTGCATGGCCTAATCAAAATTCAGTTGTCCTGAATGCAGTGGCATAGGTCTGTAATCCCAGCTGAGGCTGGAGGATTACAAGGTCGAGGCTACCCTGCCTCAAATAAAAGCTGGGTGGGTGGGAATGTAGCTCAGTGGTACAGCACCCCTGGGTTCAATTCTCAGTACCACATTCAATTTATAACTATAATAAAAGAGTACAACCTGAAGTGATCGAATGCTTCGTTTCCATAAGGCAAATAATCCTATTGCCAACAAAATAAAAAAGGAAATTCGTAGGATGGTTTGGATAACTGGAGCAAGATTTTCAATCAGCCCCAAGTTGGTTTGCTGAGGCATAGCTGTCTCCCCCAGAAAAGTTGTTTGTATCCAATTCCATATCATGTTGAGAGACAGAGAGTCTAAGAGGTTGTCCCAGGTAGAATATGAAGGTGAAGATGACATCGTTAAGACAACTGCAGCTCCAGGAACTACATATGCTGAGGTTTCAGGACTCTGAAGGCGGAGTAAGGAAGAGCGGTGTTGAAGCCCGAGTGTTCTGGAGCCATTGTGAGCAGTGCTTTGTGATGTCACTTCTCCACAAATGTCAGCTTGCTTCCCGCACACCCAGTTACTCTTCTCACTCAAACCAGCCACTGTTTTGTCTTTTCACTTCATTCATGTTACTTCCTCTGATTTTTGGCTCTCCTCCCTCTAGCACAGCACTGTCCAATAGAACTTTCAGCAATAAGGGGACTGCTCTTTATCTGTCTTATCTGCCAATATGGTGCCTGGCAGCCACTTGAAATGTGAGTAGTGTTGCAGAAGGACCAAATTTTATATTTTAATTAGTCATATGCTCAAAACAAACTGTTAAAAAAAAAAGTGTCAAAAGTGGAAAAAAAATAGGCACATGTGGCTAATGGCTACCTTCCTGGACAGTGCAAATGCTGAACTTTCCCAACAATTCCATAAAATGGAAAGTGAGGAGATAGGATATTTGCCTATTTATTCAGTTTTTCACTATGCATTTCAGGCTGGCCTTGAACTCATAGCAATCCTCCTGTCTCAGCCTCCCAAGTGAGAGGAGACAGGATTTACAAAGTATTTTCTTAAACAGTAGGCAAATGTGGACAGTGGTTCTGAAGCAGAAATGCTGACCTAATTGCAGCCACTTTGTTAAAGCTGCAGTCGTTCTGTTCTCTGCCACTAAACTCAGCTAAACTATGATTTGCCATGAAAATGAAAACAACTTGCTACATATACAACTACACTCATCACTAGGTTCATCACAATATATCCATTGTGTTCTGGCCTCTAGCAAAAGCTTATTATTGTTAACTTCTGTTCACCATCCTATAAGACAAGCTTTCTGTAATCACCACCTCAGACTTTAGAGATTATCCTACAGGGTCTGCTAGCATCAATAAAATTTCCTTTTTTTCTCCTGAGTTCCTGGCTACTGTTGATTCAGTTTTTCCTACAACAGTTCATTCGGATCATTAGTAGCATTGCCTTCATATCACTATTTGAAATTGGGATTTACAGCAAGATTTTTCACGTATTTGAGTCTCCTTTTGTTTATGTGCTGATGTGGCTTCCACTTTCTTTACAAGATTTGCATTAGAACCGAATATTTTCCCAAAGCACTTTTTTTTTTTTGTAGTAGGAATTGAACTCAGGACCCCAAAGCACTTTGTACACAATAGCATGTTACTCTGTAAGGTTACATATTCTTACGATATATTATTAATTAGTTACTGGTAGTATCTACCTACTTAGCAAAGTATATTCTGTGTGAAGACAGAAAATATACAGTGTTTCCAAAAAGCTATCATTAAAAAAAGTTCACATCCAAGTATATAAACGGTCAGATCAAATAACAAAGCAAGCATCCAAGAGTTCAAGTGAGAAGTACACAATCAGGAAGGAAAAAATAAGGTCAGGTGAGAAAATTTTTATTCTCTAGTAAGATGGAGATATACGCATGATATGCTTTCATTTTTTCTAGCTAACTTAAGAGAAAAAATAGGAATAGAGAAGCCAGTAGAGAAAGAATGTTTCATTCTGACAGGAATGGGTTACCTAAGAAGTCAGGGGCACATCAGAAAATGGGACCTAAATAAAAGTGTTTCAACAAGGCAAATGACTGTTTTTAGGAGTGACTGCTATTCATGTTTAACCCACAGCCCACTGGTGGGCTGACCATAGCCAGAACCTAGCAAGGAAGGAAAGTTACTCTGGGGGCTGGGAGTTTAGCTCAGTGGCATAAGCACCTGCCTTGCAAGCAGGCGGTCGTGAGTTCGATCCCCGGTACCGATAAAAATGAAAAAGACACAAAAAAAAAAAAAAAAAAAAGAAAGTTACTCTGATAAAATGTTGGGGTTTGATTAGAAAAAGTCAAATATGAGTCAGAAACCTGAAGACAGGACTGTGACAACTGAATAATTTCCTATGACTCTTTACACTAGATTTGGTAAAGAGGGGAAGGATTACATGGCACCTTATACGTTCACTTTTCCAAAGCACCTGACCTAATACTTAGTTGTATAATTAATATATTTAACATCTTCCGTATTGTAAATTCAATAAATATGCAATCATATTTATTTTATTAATGTATCCACAATGCTTGGCACACAGCATTAATATTTTTAAATGAATGCATATATAGACAAAACTGTCCATTCACCAAGCTGCTATATTTGTGTACTTATTTAGACAGATGCATTACCAAGTAGCTACGACAGACTCAAAAAAATGTAAGATAGGGCTAAATGAGGGTACATGTTTGTGATATCAGCTACTTGGGAGGCTAAACCAGAAGGATCACAAGTTTGAGGCCATCCTGAGCAACTTAAGACAGTATCTCGAAATTTTAAAAGTGGCTGAGGATGTAGCTCATTGGTAGACCACTTGCCTAGCATGCACAAGAACTCGATTTCAACCCCTAGGGCTGAAATACAGCAGAGTCTGAAAATTTGTTAATGGTAGCCCAGGTATGCACCACCACGCCTGGTTTCTCATGATTGCTTTTTTTTTTTTTTTAATACCAAGAATCAAACTCAGAACCTTGTGCTTGACTGGCAGGCACTTATGTCACTGAGCTCTAGCCCCGGTTCTTTACTGCCTTTTAAACAAAACCCCAATCTCGAACATAGCAACAGGGCACTAAAACATCTGGTCCTGTTTACCTATTTAACCTTTTATCCTTCTTTCATTTATTCTCTCAACCCAACTATGGTAGTCTTTTCAGTCACTGAAACACCAACCTGGTGCTCCATAAAGCCTTTGCACATAACAGGATCACCATTTCTTTACATAACCTCTTGGTTTTTCCAAGTTTTAGCCTAAATATTTTTTCTCCAGGAAGATTTTGCTGTGTTCTCTATAGGTCACCATCTACTGAGAGCATTTTTTTTTTTTTAAATCGGTATTGGGGATTGAACTCACAACTGCCTGCTTGCAAGGCAGGTGCTTATGCCACTGATCTAAATCCCCAGCCCCATACTGAGAGCATTTTTTGACAGAGCTTTTATTTATCTGCATTGTTTTAATGTCAGTCTTCCCTGCTAGACTTGAATTTGCATGATACAGAAGCTAAGTCTGTTTCAACATCCTCACTGATGGCTAGCAATGGTATGTGCTTAGTAAATATTTATCTTCTAGTCAATTATTAAGAGAACTTTCTTGGCTCTTTGGTCTTTTCTTTTCCAGGATAAACCTGCCAAATATGTTCATAATTTTCCTTTTCCTTTTTGAGGAGCTGAAAATTGAAGCCAGTTTCACGTGTGCTAGGAAAAGTATGTTAGCACTGAGCTACAACTTGACCCATCACCAGGTTTTCAAATCTCTTCCCTGTCCCAGTTAAATTCCTCAATGGGGCTCAGACCTCTGTCTGGAGTCAGAGTGCAACAGGTCAGAGTAGAGGAGCTGTACTTTCAGACCCAGCTCCCCACACAGTCTAAATCAGCATAATGTCAAGAGACAGCACCGTCTACTTTGCAGTGGGAAGTTTGATTTTTCTAGAAAAAAATTTTGCAAATTTTCGTAAGTTGTATGTTACTGACAAAAACTGGCAACAGCTTTTATCTTAATTTTTGAAATGAGACCTATTATTGGTTCTCATGCTCAAATAATAAAAAGAACATTTTACAGGTGGTCACTCAAGGACTACTGATACAGCTCTGCGCTGGGTTCAATTCCCAGTAACACCAATAATGATCCTCCCTACTCCTACCCTAAAATCTCACAGCTGGGTGTGGAGATGAAAGCCTGTAATCCCAGCACCCAAGGAGGCTCAGGCAGAAGGTATCTGGGATTGAACTCATGACCTCACGCTTGCCAGTGAGTGGCCACTTAGCTAAATCCCCAGCCCAAGGACCAGTAATTTAGTGACTTTGTAACATTGTCTCAAAATGGAAAAAGGGGCAGGGCTGGGGTACCTGGGAGTTATAGTTTATATTAGGCCCCAAATTCAATTCCCAGCACTGGGAGAAAAAAAATCACTCATGTTTTTTTTTCCCCCCCTTAGAACTCCCTAAATTAGCTTGAGATTCCAGGAAATCAGCAGTGTGCTTAGCCTGTAAGATGCTCTACTATTTCTGACAACCCCTCTACTTCATCTCACACATAACTTGTATAGGGGAGATGCTTTAGACTTCTGGGGCAAAGAGGCAGCAGAATGAAATTTCTAAAGAACTGACAAAAACAAGGAAACAAGATTCAAGGAGAGAGAAAGTATCTTCAAAACCTAAACACACAGATTAGAAAGGGTCATGAAGTGTGTCATTTTATTGATAGCTAATGAAAGTGGCTAAAATTTTTTTAAAATGGCTGTAACATATTGCTATCATTAAACATAATGTCTTACATACAAAGACCAAACTTATCTTGGTTTTCTATCCTCTTTCTAAATACTCACTCCTTTTGGTATTATATTTAATTGGCTGCATCACTACCGCATCTTTAAACTTTCCTCAAATTCTTTTCAACTTCCAAGTCTCAAATAATCCTCTTTTTACCTTGATTTCTACTCTTCCCTCTGCTGTAATTATCAGTACAGAACCTCAAAAGTCAGCCTCAATTAATACATTTTTTTATCTAACCCATTCTCAGATTCTTAACACTCCACATTTCATCTTTAAGTTGATGCTCATGCACTATTTATTCTGCTTAACAGTCTTCAAAGGCTCTCAGTTGTATATAGACTGAAGATCAAGCTCCCTAAGAGTCCACAGCTTCATAGGTTCCTGGCTATCTCTTCAATAACCTTATTCCCCTTTACAACCAACATATCAATACAGTTCCTTACAACAGGCCTTTGAATTTGCTACCTACCTTCATGTTCCACTTGGCATATATTATCCTAACTGGTCAACTTCTCTGGACCTTGTCCCCTGGGAGCTATCTTGAATCTCAAGACTACTCAACAAAATTTTCTCTCTACAAAAAATTTAAGGCAAAGAGTTATTCAAAAATAACCTTGAGTTGGGCATGGTATTACACATCTGTAATCCCAGCAACTTGGGAGGCTGAGGTCAGGAGGACTGCCTCAAATTCAAGGCCAGCCTGGGATATACAGTGAGTTCAAGGTGAACCTGGACTACACAATAAGACCCTGTCTCAGACAAAACAAAACCATACCTCTAACTCCAACACCACCTCTCTCAAAACAAAACAAGGGCTATCTGTGCTGCACAGTGAGACCCAGTCTCAAAAAACAGAAACAAATAAAAAAATCTTGATCTGAATTATTTGGTTAACAAAAAAATACTAAGTGAGTGTAGGTTTCAGAAAATATAAATGTAATTCTAGTTTATATATAAGGAAACTTACAATGAATAAACAAAGTGGGTGAAAAATTGTAATTTATTGAAACTCAACTCAAAAAATATAAGATGCTGTAGTGTACAATATATTACACAAAGCACCCTCAGGTGCACATTCAAGTCAAGTAAGAACTCCATATCCCTTTCCCTAGCCCTCCCACCCTGGGACCTTAGTATTTGTTCCATATACAATCATGCACACTTAATTTGAAAAAGGAAGCCCCAGTATATTTTGATGTATTAGTTAGCACCAAACAAGAGTACAGTTCCATTTTTTTTTTTTCCGGAAACAAAAACAAAAACCCAATCAATAAACCAACTGGAGAGCTAATGGACTCAGCCAATACTGCTGACATAGATATTATACATTCATGTAAATACACAGCCTATTCTACCTTAAACAACGGTGTGGCTGGTTCTCAGCCTTTGTTCATGTTGGCAATCATCTCCATGTTGCAATGTTGTAGCCAGTCTGTTTCTAAAACAAAACTGCTATTTAGGAACTTCCTACACAAAGCTCATCTGTTTTTTTTGTTGGAAACAAATCTAAAATTGGTGTGGAAAACTTAGATCTTTCAAGGACGACCACTGGCCGAAGATAATGAAGCTGTTTTAAGGCAAGCTCTCCACAGTCTGTTAATGCTTTGTCCAATACAACCCTCAGGTTTTCCAAGGAAGGAACTGGTGTTGTTTCAGCTACTATTAAAGGTGGGATTGCAGTCAGGTTCTCATGAATTGCAGAATCACTGGAAGAATGAGGTATGTTGGCTTCAGGGTCATTGTCATTCACTGTGTTGTTTGCTAGAACACTCCCTGTTAAGTCACTATCGGGTGGTGAAGAATTATTTAATGTTAAGTGCTCTGAAGGCTCCCAATCATCAAAATCATCATCTTTCTCTTCACTCTCCTGAATAAATTTCAGAAATGAAGATTCAAATCCCATAGGTTTGTAAGTCTTCAAATCAAATGACCTGGGCTGTGAATGTTTCCTAAAATTCTCTTTTGAGACATGGACTGAATTTTTTACAGTGTTTTCTTGCCCTGAATTATGCTGCCCAGTTTCTGAGTCTTTGATTCTTGGTAAAGGTAGCTGGAAGTTTGTAAAATAAGTCCCACTTTCAGTCCCATTGGGATTGGGTATGGAATTTTCTATTTTACAGGGAGACTGAACTATATTACATTGTTCTAAAGAAGTGGTTTCTGAACTATGGTTACATTTCAAAGTTCCCCTGTAAAGCAGCGTGTCTGCATCAAACACTGGGTTGCTCTCTGCACACCCTTTCTGACCTCCATCCCTTTCGCCTGGATGAGAAGAGTCAATGTTTTGGAGAGGTGCGTCACTGTCGCCCAGGGAACGACTGTGCTCTGTATGCTCTGATGCACAGCTCGCATTTTCTTCTTTCTTTATACAGATTTCTTTCTTTATACAGGGCTCTGCTTCAGAGGGGGGCTCCTCCTTAATTTTGGTACCGTACTTAACACAGACAACAAGATTCTCCATCTGTTGCTCTAAATAGGCACTACTCATCTGATGGGTACGTTTGTAATGCCTCACTATGCTACTCTCCAGCTTCACCACGGATAAGCAACCTTGAACCATGCAGGGATACTGTGTATGCTCGGAATGCTCTACACACATATGGAGGGCTTCAGCTCTTGTTTTAAAACTTATAGGGGCTTTCTTTTCTTTAATTAAGCTACATTTTTTAGCTTTAGCATTAAATGACCGCCTGGTAGTCTGATGTTCGTGGCCCTGAGTTGTTTGACATACCTTTTCATTCCTTAGTAGTCTTTCATTTGCTACTTTCTGGCTTCTGAACAGATCATCATAATAGTCCTTGTGTCGGTAATATACATGTTGTGAATAATTACTGCGGTGAGTGAAAATCTGGCCACAGCCATTAAGATCACAATGAATTTCATAATCTGAATGTATTTCTCCTTCAATATTATGCTGCTCCATCAAGTGGTGTTTCAACTTGCTAAATGTATAAAAAACAGCAGGGCACTGAGGCTGGTTACAGGAAAACTTTGCTGCAGACTCAGCTTCTGAAAGCACTTTTGGCTCTTCCATATGATCTAGGTTGTGAGAGTCACTACAGTGCTTTGCAAGAGCTTTTGAACACAGGAAGCGCTTATTACATTCCTTATATTTGCAAGCAAATATCTTTTTACATTTTACAAGTTCCCTTTTGGTTCTTGCTTTGTCTTTTTCTAAACATAATTGTTCTTTGTTATATTGATGTACCGTTCTATAATGCCGAATCAAGCCTTTCAGATTAGTGAATGAGGAGTTACAAGTTTTATGAATACAATGGAATGGTTTGTGGTATTTATTCAAAATATAGCACAGGTTTCCTTTAGCAACAGTTCGCCTGCTACCTCTCCCCTCTCTTCCTTCTTCTTCCCTATGACCACCCATTGGTGATGAAATACCAGATATTTTACTTTCAGATTCTTCACAAGATGACTCCAAATCTGTTTCTGAACTGCATTCATCCTTTTTAGAATGGCAGTGTGGCTTCTCAGAGTTACTGCTGGGATTACCTTCAAGTTCTGAACAATCATCTTTCAATCTGTCTACTGAGCATGGGCCTTCATGATCACATTTTTCACTGTCTGAAAGTTTTTGAGGTGCTCTGTCACTGCCAATTTGATGTTTATTTTTATAATGAATTCTAAGATGTGTTTTTCTCGTAAATGACCTTTGGCAAATATGACACTGGAATGGGGAATATCGATGCTGAAACATGCTTAACTGAAGGACTTTTTCTTTTGAATAATTATGTTTTTTAAGATAATGCATTAACAAAGCCTCTCTGGTCACAAATTCGTATTTGCATCCTTGAAGCTCGCAGAAAAAAGGCTTAGCAGCCAACTGGGCAAGGTACTGACTTGGCATATTTTCATCTTGATTCTGAAAATTAAGGTCTGAGATAGTAGATGAGACTGACTGCAGAGACTTAGCACCACTGGATGGGTACCCCGGTAATGATCCTGAGAAAGTTCCATGTGCTATTGAATTTTTCAAGCTTAAATGTTTCAAGCGCAACAGAAGCTCCAACATGGTATCCTCTGTACATGGCCTTTTGGAAGCACAAATGGAGACTTCTGAGGAATAATCTTGATGTTCTCGTTTACATTTAGTATGAATATTGTGATCTAGACTTTCATCTGGGGAGTCACTGTTTGTATCTGAGCTGGGTTTGAGTTCTGCATCAAACTTTTCAGTTGTTTGATTATGTTCATTACCCAAACAGGGCAAGAGATCTTTTGTCTTTATCTTTTTGGGCTTAAAATGGTATGGATGAACCTTCCGTAGATGTTTCTGCATACCTCTTGCATTTTTGTATGTGGATCCACACCCATCAAATCCACAGGTAAATTTAGTCCCATCAAAACAAACTGCCACATTGGAGCATTTTTCTTTTAAATTGGAGGGCACAAAGACTTTCTCATGAGCTAATAATATATCCTGCATGGTTTCAGAATGATCCAGTGTGTCAATTAACTCTTCATTCATTGATCCTGAAGAGCTATGACTTAACTGATCACTAGAATTACTATCACTGTTTTCTTTCAGGTTTTCTGCAGTTTCTGCATCTATTTGAGAGCTAGCTGATTCTGCACAGAAAAGAAGTTCTTCAGGTAATTGTGACTTCTCAGTCTGGTCAAGCAGATGGGCCTGATCAATACAATCTTGCTTTTCACCTGCTGCAGATTCTTCAAGTTTCACTGATTTCTTTGTATCTCCATTTGAACTTTCAACATTATGCATTGAGAGGTGATTCTGGTATTCAATTTTGGAATAATAGAACTTTTTACAGCCAAGAAAGTTACACGTGTAAGATGCATCCCTAAAATGTTGTGCTTCATGGTGGTAAAGCTGTCCCAAGTCACTGAAAACAATATTACAGCCATTTAATTCACATTTATAACGAAGGTCATCATGTTTTTGTTTGTGATTTAGGAGTTCATTCACTGATCCAAACCTAGCATAGCAATCGATAGATACACACATATAAGGTTGAGGACCACAATGCACTTGTTCGTGTTCTCTTAGGTGAAAAGCAGACATGAAATGTCTTCGACAGTAAGTACACTTCTCTCTTCTGTTTTTCATATCCAAATAATGCTTGGCATTTTCATCATTATTTTGGTGTTCAGCTTTCAGATGCACACTTAAATATTTAAATTGTTTAAATACACGAGAACAGTCTGTACCAGGACATGGGTACAAATCTCTGTCTTGCAGGTGACAATCTTCCAACTTGCTAAATGTGACATATTCATGAGACTCTCCTTCAGCTTGTTCACTCAATGACTGACTCTCCAGCGTTGAAGAGGGGCTCTTGGGACAAACACCCTTTTGAGAACCTTTCAAAAGTAATTTCTTTCTAGAACGGTCCCTTCTGCTTGGCGGCATTTTAACATGTTCCATCACATGAGGAACAAATATTTCTTTTCTCTTGAACTTTTTAATACAAACTGGACAAGTGTAAATACCATCTTCCATATGCATCTTAGAATGATGGAGAATCCTGGCCTCAATACATTCCCGCTTACATAACAAGCAGAAAAACTTGTACTGAAGCCACCTTTGGTATCTTTCAGAAGAACCAATGGGTTTTTTGTCTCTTTTCTCTTTCTGCTGATCTACTAAATCTCTTCTCCTATACTGTTTATCTTCTTTACCTTCATCATAGTCACTGAGAAATGACTCTAACACATCTGTATCATTGATAGACATTTCATAGCCACTTAAATCATCATCAGAATCTGAGGCTTCTTGTCCCAGGAGTTGATGGCAGTGTCGTTTTAAAGTTTTCCAATCCCAAAATTCAGGATCAAAAGGCCAGTGGGCTTTTAAAGCTAATAGGAGC